CGTGGATGCGGTTCCGCGGCAGCGAAGGCGCTGGAGCGGGGCTGAAAGGAGCGCACAGCGAACCCTGCCGAGCTCACGGCGCTGGCCGCGGCAGCGGGACGAGCAGCCCCCGCTCTCCCCAATGGAAAGCTCTCCCCGTGCGCCTGCCACCATAAATCAGCTGCCCTTCTCCTGAATAACAGCATTCACTGAAGTTACAGTAGGAAACTTGTCTGGGTGGACACCGTGCCATTGCTGCGCGGTGCCGATCGCCGGCCTGGCGCTGAAATATCGCATTGATTGCCGCTGCCGCTGCCAGCGCCGGGCTATCGCAGCCGGGAGGAGCAGGGCGAACACCGGGGGAAGAGGCGCCGGGGAAAAAGGCAGGGTCGGACCGTCTCGCCGATCTCTCCGGGAATAAGAAGCACGCTGGATGTGTTAGATGCTGGAAGCACCGGAGGAAGCTGGCGCGTCCCTGGGAGGATTTGCAGGCTAAACTTGGCCGGGGGCTCGCTGTCGGCAGCCGGGCGCTCGCAGGCAAAGCGGGTCAGTGTGTGCCATCGCCCTGGCGCGGGGCACGGCTCTCGTCCCATCCTGACCCGAGGAGCCAGCCCCAGCCCCTGGCCTGGAGAGGACGTGGGAGGTGCCTGCTCCCGCGGGGTTATAAATGGGCCGAGCAGGAGCTGCCGCTTGGCTCCTCCGGAGGCGGTGGGTGAGCGCTGGTTGGCACCGGGGCAGGCAGGAGGCTGGGTGGCAGCGCTCAGACGGATTCTCCCTTGCGGCATCCTGGGGCAGGGCAGACGCTGCTGGTTTGTGAATGAATTTGAGCAGCTGCTGTCAGAGGCAGTGGGGAGCAATAACAAAATGCCTGGAGGGAAGGAGGACGTGACAGACATCCCAGGGGACATTAATTTCTGATGACAAGCTGGACTGGCAGGAAAGGCTGCAGGGTTGGAGTGAGGGTCTCCTGCACCCCTGTTCTTTGCAACTAAGAATTTGCAACTAAGTGCAAGGAATAAACCAGCATTGAATGGATGAGAAGAAATTGGGAGAAAAGGGGAAAAAAAACCCAAAAAAAAACAATGCAGAAGTTTTTAGGGATTTTTGTGGATTTTTATTTTTTTTTTTTATAGAGGGAAAAGCATCCTGTGCTCCCCCAGCCACACAGTGAGAAGCAGTGCGTGCCACCCCTGTGCAAGACCGAGCTGGGAATAAAAGGTGAGCCACCGTCTTCCGGAGGTTTAGAGTTTTCCCTCCATCCCTAACTGCTTTTCTTTTATCCTCTTTCAGTCTCTCTTCCTTCCTCCTCCTTCTCCTTTTCTGTTAGCTGGTTGGTGGGGAGAAGCAGAGTCTGGAGGGTGGGATGAGACAAGGCATCCTTGTCCGGCAGCCCTCCTGACCCCTGCACCCCCAGGCTCTGCACGGTAGCCACAGCGCTGGCTGCCTTGGCAGGCTATCAAAAGAAACTTCTGAACACGGAGATGTTGAGGGCTGGGAAGAGATAAAGGCTGGCTTAAGCAAGCTGTTTCTTGTCTTAAAACTTGGCACCTGGACTTATCGAGGCAAATGTATGAATGGCTCAGCCATTCATCACAAGGAAATCTTGGGATTTTAATTTTTATTTCAATTTTTATATTTTTTTTGTATATTTTTTAAATTTTCTGGGAGTTTCTGTTGTACTCATGGTGTGCAGCAGGGGGGAAGGAAATATGTGCTCTGGGAATCTCCCCAGCCTTCCCGTCTGTTTGCAGACACTGCAAGAGATTAAACCATCCTGGCTGCCTTAGCATGGGACATTCCTGAGTTGCATTAACCAGGCTGGAAATCTCCTGTCAGAGCAGCAGCAAACTGGAAAAAAGCACTTTATCTTCACCATAGCAGAGAGAGAGAGCCGCGTGCTGTGTGTAATGTCTGAGTGCCAGCATCTGTGGGGTTCCTTTTCCTTCCCCTTTCTCCCTTCCTGATTCTTTTTTTTTGCAGTCTGTCTGAAAAAAAGTCTCTTCTCCTTTCCCCTGAATCTTGCCAGCAGCTCAGACCCAGGGGTGGGGAGAGAAATTACAGAATGGTTTGGGTTGGACCTTAAAGATCATCCAGTTTCAACACCCTGGCTGTGGGCCGGGACACTTTCCACTAGACCAGCTTATTCAAAGCCCTGTCCAACCAGGCCTTGAGCACTTTCAGGGATGGGGACTACATTTTCAAGGAAGTTCTTTTTTTTTACTTCAAATAAGATAATCCTCCTTAGGAAAAATTGAGATTCAAACTCCTGTTGTGACTGATGGGTCAAACCCCTGTGATTCCTCACATCTGAGGTGACACATGTGCATGGGGCTTGTGTCACCTGTCTCCAGGTGGGGCAGGACATGTCCCTGACTCCAAAAGTGCCTATTTTCCTCCCATCCTTGAGAACGATATGTCCGTAGCAGTTGGCATGGTGAGGGCAAACTTCACAGAGCAGGATGGGGGAGATCCTTTCTCCAAAGCACTTTAATCTTACTGCAAAAGCTCAGTTTGTATCTGTCCAGGACCAAAACATTGCAACCTCCTGCAACCGATCTCCAGTTCAAAGAATTATATGATCATAGGGTAACTGAACCTGTCCAGTCTCATCCATCCCCTTCTTTCTCCCCTGGCCTGGCTGCCCATTTTGCAGAGGGAAAAGCAGGGTTGCTGTCTCTAGAGTGTTCAGGAAGGCAGGAGCTGGACATGGTGCCCAAAGGGAGTGGTAACATTTGGCTGGACCAGTTATGACAGTGGCAGTGTTGGCTGAGGACTTCTGTGTGGGGTGAGAGCCACAGGCCTTGTGCTCCCTTCCCAGTTAAACTGGTGGGAATTAAACCTGGGGATGGTACCACCATCCCCACACAGGCGTGAACACTTCTCAGACCTCCTGCTAGTCATCCTTAAAGTGCTGGGAAGGAAACTGAGGCACTTAAATGGGGACTCACGGCACCATCAGTGGTGAGACATTGGTCCTGCTGGGGAAATGGCTCTCCCAACCCACTTGAGATGATCTTTCTCCAAAATCCTCCACCAGCCAAGAGGGACTGGAGAATCCTGGGCCAAGGAGGGGACGAAAAGAGCTGAGGAGATACTGCACATCATGGGGGTAATGAAGTATCATCTGCAGTGGGAATCATGGTGGGCATGACACTCAGCCAGTAAACCCTTTATCAGCCCTACCTACACCCCTTCTCCTGCCCAAATCCCCCCTTCCCAAACCTTGTAGGAGACCCACTGGCTCTAGTAAATGTCTCACATGCTTCACTGGGGTGGGGACAGCTCCTGAAGCCCCAGCTGATGCTCCACCAAGCAGTTTCACTGGCATTCATTATTTGCAGCATCACGTTGCAAGAATTGTTGGAGAGGGGGAGCAAAGAAAGGCCATGAGGAGAATGAGATGGGAGCCTCCAGCTGTGCTATTTGCAACAATAATGGCCAGGATTGTATTTATTATCTCCTCAGTGGAGGGTCTGCAGCTGCATGCTGAGAGCCACAGACAGCAAAGGGGCCCGGAGATTATTGTGCATGGAAAAAAAGACCAGGCACAAAAATAAATAAAAAGCCCACAGAGAATCCCTGGGCCAGCTGGAGCAGTGCCAAGGGGCACCCAGCTTAACCCCTCCTTTTGCCCTTCCTCACTGAAGTCAGCAGCCCTGCAGGGCTGTTAGGAGCAGGGAGATTGGCAGCTGCTGCCTTTCAGAAAGCTAAAGCTGCATGGGGTCCTCTTAAAATCCTTCTGCCAGGGCTGAAGGTGTTGCCCAGCCAGGTTGAATTTCTTTTCCCTATGCTTTCTCATGATTTTTTTCCAGTGCTGGCTGCACCATGACAAAGGCATGCTGTTGGAGGCAGTACTTGGACCTGATCTGAGCCACCTCTGTTGTAATGGATTTGATTCTCTTAGAGGTCTTTTCCAACCTTAATGATTCTATGATTCAAGGAGAAAGCGTTGTAAAGCCATTAGAGATACAGGCTTTACAGAGATACAGGATGATGAGGCTGTGATGAGTTGTTTGCTCTTGGTGTGTTGTGTCTCACCAGGGAGAGCAGAGGCATCAGCCTGGGATGTATCACCTTCTCTTTCCTCCTCTCTCTTGTTTCCTCCCCCCTGCCTAGCTCATCTTCTCTGCGGGAACCCACCCATGTCTACCCACACAGCATGGTCTCTGCAGCTCAGGCAGGTCCTCTGGGGTGATTGGATGCAATCTAGATAAGGTGTGTGGGGTACACATCCATAGGCATCGTACCTTTCCCTCATTGACCACACAGCTGCTGGTGGGTCCTTGCAAACCTGCTCTTCCCTGGCATGGAACATGGTACATGCCATCCCAGGGATGTGCATGGCATGTGGCATTTCCCAGCTGGGCACAATGACATGGCTGATCAGCCCTTCTAACAGCTAAAACCAGGTATCCATTGTGGGTAGGAGGTTTCCTCTCCCTGTGCTGCACCTCTTAACATTCCTTGCTGGCATATGGTGTTCATCCTGGAGTGCATTCCTCTGGAATTATATCATGTCTCTGGGAGGTGGAGTGTGGAGAAAAAGTATCATCGTAGCAGGAGGAAGTGCAGGAACTGTCTGGGGTTGGCTGTCAGGTGTGCGTCGCCAAGGGCTGAGGCTCCAGGAGAAGCTTGTTAGGACCATTTTCACTTTCAATAACCAACTAGTTAGGGAAGAAGGAGGGTTTAATCCTCTCAAGGTTATTGCTGTGATTTGGATAAAGCCTGGATACTTGCAGGCTCCCTTTGTGCCTCACAGTTGGTTTTTGGGCACTGGAGGTGATGGGGCAGGTAGCTTCACCAGGTCTTCCCACAGCAAAATGCACTAGGACTGGCACAAAACTCTGTGTAAACCTCTCCTTTGGCTATGAAGCACCACGTTGAAGGGCTGGTCTGTTCCCGAGTTTGTGCCAAAATAATGGAGACCTCCCATTCTGGGGCATGTTGCTATGATAAAAATTCTGTTTGGGCCGAGTTTGAGATGGTTAAGAAAATATTTGTGTTCCTGGCAGAGATGAAGTCTCATACTCAGTGAGTGCCAGGGTAGTGAGGCCTTCTGCTCCTGGAAATGCTCACAGTTAAGCAGAGCAGGGAGGATGAGAAATAGGAGTTGTTAGGGATAAAAGAATTTGGGGTGGTCATGCTGGCAGTGATTCTAGAGCAGGAGAAAGTCCTGAGCTCTTACATCCCTTGCAGGCACCTTGCAGAATCCATGCATCCCGGGCTACTGGGAACCAGTTACAGCTGCCAGCACTCCCAGTTTGAGTGGTTCTGCAGCTGGAATAGCCAGGAGGCAATGGTGGGGCTGGGATACTCGCATCCTGTCTGCTCCCAGAAAACCCTGTGAATCTCTCATTCATGTTGCAGTGGTGCTGCACCACTCCAACACCTTCCTTCCCCTGCCCCCAGCCACTCAGGAGGCCTGGCAAACGATTTCCTTTTGGGAATGCCCCCTCTGGGCACAAGCACAGTTTGACTTGAGGCTGGAGAGCAAAATTGCTTTCAAAAGCCACGGGAGACTAATTCCTCCACCTGGAAATAAACTGCTATTAAGCTGACAGCTTTCTGGGCTAAGCAGAGAAGTGGGAATTTTCTGCAAATCCTGATGCCACGGTAATTTAATTCTTAATTTTCCTGTGCTGCATGTGGCACCAACATTTTCCCACTTGAGGAAAAATTCCCTGGAGTTGGGCTACTCTTCCCTCACAAAATGTATCTTTTCAAGGCACAAAGCTTTTAGAGCAGCAGAAACTTCATTTCAGCAGCGTATGTAAATGAGCTAGAAGTTACTGTATGGGCTGGCAGACCTGCCTGCACATGTTTTCCTTTTGTCAGATCCCAAAATACACCACCCTGCACCTTGAGTTCCTCCTCCAGGGGGAATGAGGGATGCCTGGGGGGGAAGATTGCACAAGTGGAATAAACTACTAGCTGTTTTAAGCACTAGGATGATAAATTATCTGTGGCCTCTTGCAAAGCAGATGGGAATTGTGACATTAACAGTTGTAACAAAGTTTATTTTAATAGGTCTTTCAATTTATTTATTAAATAAAAGATATTCTTTTTACATTTAAAAAAAAAATAGAGCAGAGACTTTCAGCCAAGCAAGCATTGCAGTGTCTTTTCCCAAGAAACAAGTCATAGGACAAGAGGAAACTGCTTCAAGTTGCACTAGGGGGTGTTTATATTGCAAATTATGAAAAATTTCTTCACTGAAA